TATGATCATATGATTTTTATTTTTTATGTTGTTTTATTGTTGTGTATAACTGATTTGTGGATATTGGAAAATCATTGCATATATGGAATAAATCCCACTTGATCATGGTGTATGGTCCTTTCAATGTATTATTAAATTTGGTTTGCTAATATTTTGTTGAGGGATTTTGCATCTATGTTCACTAGGGATATATATATATATATAGATATAGATATAGATATAGATATAGATATTTTTTTTTTTTTTTTTTTTTTTTGGTGTCCTTGTCTGGTTTTGTTATCACGGTAATGCTAGCCTTGTAAAATGAGTTTGGAAGTATTCCCTTCATTTTCAATTTTTTTAATGGTGTTTGAGAAGGATAGCTATTAAACCATCTTTGAAAATTTGATTGAATTGACACTATCTAGTCCTAGATTTTTCTTTGTAGAGCAGGTTTTGCTTACTGATTCAATCTTCTTACTAGTAATTTGTCTATTCTGATTTTCTATTTCTTTTTTTTTTTTTTTTATTCTCACCCGAGGATATCTTTCCATTTTTTGTTCAGATAGAGTGGGAGGGAGAGAGAGAGAGAGAAACATCGACGTGAAAGGGATACATCAAGTGGCTGCCACCTGCACGACCAACCAGAGCCGGGGACAAACTGCAACCGAGGTACATGCCCTTAGCGGGAACCGAACCCGGATCTCTCTGGACCGCAGGCCGATGCTCTAACTGCTGAGCCAAACCGGCCAGGGCTAGATTTCTTTCTATTTTTTAATGGTTCAGTCTTGGAAGATTGTATGTTTCTAGGAATTTATGCATTTCTTCTAGGTTGTCTAATTTATTGAAGTATAATTGTTCATAGTAGTCTCTTATGATCCTTTGTATTTCTGTAGTATCAGTTGTCATTTCTCTTACCTTTCTTACTTTATTTGAGCTCTTTCTCTCTTTTGGTGAGTCTAGCTGAAGGTTTGTTAATTTGGTTTATCTTCTCAAAGAATCAGCACTTAGTGTCATTGATTTTTAAAAAATTTATTTCCATCTGATATTTAATATTTCTTTTCTTCTACTAACTTTGTGCTTTGTTTATTCTTTTTCTGGCTCTTTGAGGTGTACAATTAGAATGTTTATTTTAGGATTTTCTTGTTTCCTGAAGTGGACTTGTATTGCTATGAACTTCCCTCTTAGAAACACTTTTGCTGCATCCCATAGATTATGGAATGTTGTATTTGTTTTGATTTTCCTCTCGGTATTTTTTTTTCTTTTGGGTTTTTTAATTACCCAGTGGTTCTTCAGTAGCATGTTGTTTAATCTCCACATGTTTATGGTTTTTCCAATTTTGTTCTTGTAATTGATTCCTAGATTTATACCATTGTATTTGGAAAAAATGCCTGAAATGATTTCAGTATTCTTGAATTTATTGAAAATTGTTTTATGGCTTAGCATGATCTATCCTGGAGAATGTTCCATGTACACTTGAGAAGAAGGTGTATTCTGCTTCTTTGGGATCAGATGTTCTGCCTGTATCTATTAAGTCCATTTGATCTAATGTTTCCTTTAAGACTATGTTTCCTTATTGATTTTCTGTGTGGATTATCTGCCCATTGATATAAATAAGGTGTTAAAGCTCTAATATTATTGTGTGCTGTCAGTTCCTCCCTTCAGGTATGTTAATATTCACTTTATGTATTTTGGCATGCCTATGTTGGGTGCATATGTATTTACAAATGTTATATCTTCATGCTGTATTGACTTTTTTTTTATCATTATGTAATGCCCTTCTTTGTCTTCTATTACAGTCTTTGTTTTGAAGTCTTTTTGTCTTATATGATTTGATTTCTTTTGATTTCTATTTATATGAAACATCTTTTCCCAGCCCTTCACTTTCAGTCTATGTGTCTCTTTACAGCTGAAGTGAGTCTCTTAAAGGGAGCAGATAGATAATCCTTATTTATCTATTCTATGTCTTTTTTATTAGAGAATTTAGTTCATTTATACTTAAATAATTATTGATAGATATGTGTTTACTGCCATTTTGTTCATTTTTGTTTCTAGCTGTTTTGTAGTTTCTCTGTGTTCTTTTTCTCTTCTCTTGCTCTCTTCCCTGTGGTTTGATTACTTTATTTGGTTTTATGCTTACATTCCCTTTTCATTATCTTTTGTGTATATACCTTAGGTTTTGATTTTGTGGTTATCATTAAGTTCACATAGAACAGCCTATATTTGTAAAACCGTCTGCTGTAGGTTGATAGCAAGCTAAGTTTGAATGCATTCTAAAACTGCATTTTTACTCCGCCTGCCGTGTTTTATGTTTTTGATGCCGCACTTTACATCCTTCTATTATATGTAGTCCTTAAATAATTAATGTAATTTTACTACTCTTTTAACTTCATAATTTAAAAGTGATTTATAAGTGATTACTCCATTGTTTTAACAATGTATTTACCTTTACCAGTGGGTTTTTACTTTCATGTTTTCTTATTAACTAGTGTTATATCTTTTCAGCTTAAAGAATCCCCACTAATATTGCTTGTAAGACCAAATTAGTAGTGACAAACTGTTTTGGATTTTGCTTTTCTGGAAGACTCTTTATCTCTCCTTGAAATCTGAATAATAACTTTGCTAGTAGAGTATTTTTGGTTGAAAGTTAACTCTTTTCAGCACTTTGAATATGTCATGCCACTCCCTCTGGCCCATAAAGTTTCTGCTGGAATATCTTTTTATAGCCATATGGGGTATCCCTTGTATGGAACAAGTTGTTTTTCTCTTACTGCTTTTTAAAGTCTCTCTTTATCTTTTGACATTTTAATTATAATATGTCTTGGTGTGGATTTGTTTGGGTTCACCTTATTTGGAAGTCTCTGGACTTCCTGGACCTGAATGTCTGTTTACTTTCCCAGGTTAGGAAAATTTTCAGCCATTATTTCTTCAAATAATTTTCTGCCCCATTTATCTCTCTCTTCTCATTCTGGAATCCCTGTAATGCAAATGTTATTCCTCTTAATGTTGTCCCATAGGTCTTTAAGCCATATTCACTTTTTTAAAAGTCTTTTTATGTTGCTCTGCTTGAGTGAGTTCCAATGCTTTGACTTTCAGCTTACTGATCTGATCTGTTCTTATGCTTTATTCAATATTTTTTTAACCCTCTAGCATATTTTTCAGTTCAGTTATTGTATTCTTCTGTGCTATATTTTCTCTTTGATACTTTCTTTTATTTTCTATTTCTTTGTTGAAGTTCTCACTATGTTCATCCATTCTTCCCCCAAGCTCACTGAGCACCTTTATGACCATTGAATTCTTTATCAGGTAGATTACTTCTCTATATAGTAAGGTCTTTTTCTGAGCTTTTGTTTCGTTCTTTTGTTTGGGACATATTTCTTTGATTCCTCATTTTGCTTGACTCTGTTTCTATGTATTAGGTGATGTAACTTCTTCTCTCAGTCTTGAATGAGGGGTGTTTCCTAGGTGACACTGGCTGTCTTCATTAAGGCAGCAAGAAATCCTTGACTGCCATGCCTATGGGCTTCAGCAATGCAGTGAGAAAAAGTCTTGTCTGTGTGTGCACATGCACACATGCTGCCTTTAGGGAGGGAGCAGGAAGATGCTGTGATTGCTAGTGGAGACACTGGCTGATTCCACTTCTGCCCTCTCTACCCAGCGAGGGAATGGGAGTGTCCCAACTGGCTTTGCTGGTGACTATCTCTTCATCTGCCCCAGCCAGGGAGTGGTTGACTGCTGCAACCCCACTCTGCTGTTTCAGCAAGGCAGTGGGACAGTGTGGCAACTACTCACCCTACCTGTCCTAGCAATGCAGTGGGAGGGTGCAGCATCCACTCTCACTCGCCTGTGCAAGCAGGGTAGGTGGAGAACACAGAAATGGAATTTTCCAGTGCCTCCATCTGCAGAGAAAGTTTCAACTATTTTCTGCTCCTCCAGCAGCTGTTTCAAGATTAGGAAATGACTCTCCTTCATATATAGTCTAGGTACTTTTCACACTTCTGCTTTCGCACTGGGTCCCCTGGCAAATGAGAACTCACATGATCTTTGAAAGAAGAATCTCAGGCCTGGCTGGTGTGGCTGAGTTGTTGAGTGTGGACCCATGCACGAAGGAGTCGTCAGTTCGATTCCCAGTCAGGACACCTGCCCAGGTTGTGGGCCAAATCCCCAGTGGGGGGGGGGGGCATGTAGGAGGCAACCAATTGATGTTCTCTCTCATTGATGTTTCTATCTCTCTCCCCCTCTCCCTTTCTTTCTCTCTAAAATCAGTAAAGGGAAAAAAACTATTTAAGAAATAAAATAAAAGAAGAATCTCAGTTCCCTATAGCCATTTGGGCCCCTTGGGCATCAACCCCAGTGGTTTTCTAAGCCAGACGTGTTTGGGACTTGTCTCTCCAGTGCAAATCCCGAGGGTTGGATGTTTGATGTGAAGCCTTCTCCTCCAGAGGTGCCAGACTGGTGAGGTCCCTCCCTGGCTGAGTCACTGCGTTGGAGATGTTTGTCTCTGCTTCTCTCACCCACGTCAGTGTGGTTCTTTTATTTTTATTTTTTTTCATGGAGGAGCAGTTTATTTACTTCACAGATCTTTTCACAGGGAAATGATCCATATGTAGCTGTAGATTCTGTGTGTCTATGTCTATGGGAGGAGGTGAGCTCAGCATCTTCCTGTGACACCACCTTGGACCCCCATCTGAAGGTAGCTCAGCTCAGAGCAATTTGAGAAAGTTTTAATCTGGAAAATTAGAGGTCAAATGGAAGTAACGAAGCTCTGTGGAAATTTGCTAAGCTTTTAAAAATGTAGATTTATAAGTGCCAAATAATTTTGTTGATATTTAGTTGTGAATGCATTTTAAACTCCATCTACAAGGCATTTCTTTTTTTAATCTCTCTTTAAATTTGAATATAATTCATACAGTAAATATGTACAGATCTTAAGTGTATAGTGCATTTTAACATGTATGTGTTTATGTCACCAACATCACAGTTGAGATATAGAGTATTACAAGGTATTTCTTTCAATTTAGGCAAATGTTATAGTGACTGACTGGTATGGGGCACATGGAGGTGATCCATACACCCTGCAATATAGAGGGTGTGGAAAAGAGGGAAAACACATTTATTTCACATCTGAATTTCTACTAAATGATGACTTAACAGCTGGCTATGGATCAAGAGGTAAGTGTGACCAACAACCAAGAAATAGACATGTGCTTAGTGTGGAAAAGGACTCAGAGAACCTGAGATTTTCCAAAGACTTACCATATGGATGGGGAGATAGGCCACATGCCCATGAAAAGAGGAGGAACAAAGTGAGCCAGAAAGAGTTAAGCACCAGATCAATGGCCCAGACCGTGAGTACTATAAGAATTCAGTGAAAGGAGAAAATATTTTGAGCAAAGGATGGTTAGAAATGGCCTCATTGAGCAGAGGAGCATCATGGTTGAAAATCATTTTGATACAAGAAAAAAAAAGAAAAGAAACAGAGAGAATAGTGTAGATAGTATAAATACATTTGTGCCAGCAGAATAATCCAGAGCATATCTGAGGCATGGGAGCAGTAGACCCTATTAATGGGGCAGACTGACTGTGGGTAGTGAGGTAGTGGCAGAAAAGGCTGAAATACACATGGGGTAAGTGATGGAGAGCTTCAAATGCCCAGATTAGCACATCATCACTGTGTGTGTAAGCACAGGGGTGTCACCGTCAAGGCGGTGTTTTAAGATGATGACCTGGGCTGTGTGGATAACCTGGCTTTCTCAGATCAGTGAAGGAGAAAGTGGATATCAGGAGAACAACTAAGGAAAGTCCAGGTACAAGGCCAGAGACTTGACTGTAGAGGCAGTGAGATGAGCAGAACAGGAAAGGTAGTAAAAAAAAATAAATAAAACAATGAGAATTTTCCATGTTCTCGGTGCTGTGCTGTTTTTCAAATGTTATCTTGTTTAATCAACAACTCTAAGTGATGAGAGATATTCCAGAAGGGAAAAAAAGAAATAGAGGTCCGAACTGGTATAGTACGAAGGACAAGGGGGACGGATGTGAGCAGCAATAAGGAACACATCAAGCTTTTGGCAGAATTAGAAGGAACCAATTTAAAGGGGAAATCCACAAGAATGGATTGAGACAAGATGATGGTGAGGAGCGGTGAACTGTCCTGGTGGAAAAGCCCAGCTGTGGTTGAACGTGGGTGACTAGAGTTTGAGAGAGTAGTCAGGGTCACAGGTTCGGAGAGGAGCATTCAGTGGATGAGATCTGAGGGAGAAACTGTGGTGAGAAAAGATCAGTAGGTCAAGGACTAACCATCCCATTCTTAATTTTTCATTTTTTTATTTTAACATACAGTAGTGCCTTTCAGCTGATGTTTTCATGATTACCCCCATTAAAATCTAAACAGATTTTGTCATCCTCTGTATAGCTAGCAGGAATTGGAGCAACACAGTCTACTTAGACACATTTTATAAGACACTTAAAACTTTATAAATAGAGTTTTTTTCTGGTAACTGTGAGGTGCTGATAATCTCTGCATAAACATATAACCTCATCAGCACTTCTAAATTCCATGAGTAGGCACAAACTTTTCCTTAACCCTTTCAGCTTAGGCTGTTCCCCTCCCTTCCTTTGTCCCAAGATCCAGAATTGCACAATATGCCACAGCCTGAGTCAACTCAGCAAACACTTCGTGGGTTTCCATAACTTTAAAAAATTCAAAAAACACACGTGCACTTTGAAAGGGGAGTTAATCTGGAAAACATCAAGGAGGGAGAAATCAGTTTTGATCTGAACATTGAAGAAAGTGTAATATTTAGAGAAGTAGATAAAGAGTTATAAAGGACTTGATGCTGAGGATGAGGGCTTCCATGAGCTAAGAGTTAGAGATAAATATAAACATGAAGATTCAGGATAAAATAAAAAAGAATCACTCAAGCTAGAGAAGAAGTTCTTTTTTCTTTCTTTCTTTTTTTTAATTTTTTTTTTTATTGACTTTAGAGAGAGGAAAAGTGAAGAAGAGAGAGATGGAAACATCGATGAGAGAGATCATTGATTGGCCGCCTCTTGCATGCCCCCCACTGGGGATCAGGCCCACAACCTGGGCATGTGCCCTGACCGGAAATTGAACCAGTGACTTCTTGGAGCCTGGGTTGACACTCAACCGCTGAGCCACACCAACCAGGCGCTAGAGAAGTTCTATATGTTTGCCCTTGCCTCTCTCCCTGACCCCAAGGTTTCAATCATTGTTATGGATAATAGAATTACCTACAAGGAAAAAAGCAGGCATGCTTGGATACCAGACAGAAGAATAAGAAAAGTTTATTTGCTTATTTGGTATCTGAGCCCATCTGGGCTGCTACAACAGAATACCACTAATTTCAAGTAGATATGCAACAAGTAAATCACTGGTTTGCATTTATGGGACTCAACATATTTTCACTCTGCCTCTTTTACGATGATGGGAGTAAAGTAGAAGGTGATGAAAACGGGGTAAGGAAGAGGAAAGTGGAAAAGAGAATTGTACTTCAACCCTTCAGAATGAGTATATATAGTCAAGTATTGTTATATCTTCACTGATTAGCAAGGTCCATCGCTGAGATTTTAGGAACTCAAACCAAAAGCTTTCTCTTCCACAGGCAGAGTGTTTGTCCATGAATGGGCCCATCTCCGTTGGGGCGTGTTTGATGAATATAACAATGAAAAACCTTTCTACATAAATGGACAAAATCAAATTAAAGTAACAAGGTTAGTAATTTTCTCATGCTAAAAATTTAGATTATTTTTTTACTTATTTTATTTTCATTACAGATGTTTCTCCTTTTTCCCCCATTGACACCCTCCTCCTGATCCCCCCCAGCCCCATCCCCATCATTGTTTATGTCCATTAGTTGAGCATTCATGCATATAAGTTTTGTGGTTTATCTCCCCCTCCCCCTTTTTTTTTAACTTTAAAATGAAGTTTATAATGACAGCTAAAACTTAACTGACAATTTTAAGTTTTGTAATGCTATTGCATTTTTTGAATGCTCATATGGTTCAAATATTCAAATATCAAAAAGTTATATTCTTAGATATTTCACTCCCACCACTGTCTTTACCGTGTATTCTCTCATTCTCTCTAGATAACCATTTTTTATTAGTTTCTTGTTTATTTTTTCAGAATTTCTCTAGGAAAAATTTTTAATGTGTATTTTCCTCATTCTTTTTTTTTTTTTTAAATAATTTCATTGCATGAATGTAACATAATTTTTGAATCACTCCCCTACTGTTGCATAAATGGGTTGTTCCCAATTCTTTACTACCAATAATACTACAATGATAATGCTATATATTTGTTTCATTTTTCATGTGTGCAGGCAGATCTGTATACCTACTGAATAATTTCCAAGAATTACCGAGGCAAAGGGTACTCTCAGTTGTAATTTTGGTAGATACTGACTGATTCCTCTCCAAAGGCTGTATTGTTTTTCACTCCCCTTGACTATTTTAGATTACCTATTTAGGAAGGAATCCTTTGAAATATCATCATTAACTGTTCATTTTCTTCTTCCTCTGATGGCCAATGGCAATAAGTTCAAAGGAGCCCTGACTCAGGATACTGCCTCTCACACTCTTCCTTAGACCTCCGAAAGGTCATGTGGATTTCCTGGTAACTTTTGCTTTCACCTTGGCAATACATACAGAACCTTTCCTCAAGATCAAATTCTTTTTTTCTTCAAAATAAAGTGGAATCCATTTCTAAATTGATGAACTTTAATAAAGTAGTTGTAAAAAAATTTTATGTATATCTAGCAAGGTACAATCTTTATAAGTAATTATTATATGAGCTAGTGAAAAAAAAAACACAAGTATTTTTAAAATAGACTGATTCTTTCTATTTTTAGGTGTTCATCTGACATCGTTGGCATGTTTGTGTGTGAAAAGGGCCCTTGCCCCGAGGAGAACTGTATTATTAGTCAGCTTTTCCAAGAAGGATGCATGTTTATATACAATAGCACTCAAAACACAACATCATCGATAATGTTCATGCAAAGTTTGTCTTCTGTAAGTATGGCCTTGGAATGATAAACTCCTACGAGATTCCATCTCTTCTCAAGATAGACTGATATGTTTTAAGCATTTAAACAAAAAGACAAGAGTCACTATTTTAGAGCTTGAGGGACCTTAAAGTTCATCTAGTTTTTATTTTACAGATTAAAAAATAACTGAGACCCCAATAATGACCATCAAAAAGAGACTCCTTAAGAAAAGTGATTATTTGCTTTCCAGGGAAGGTGATTTAACAATGAGAATCCTATAAACGTCAAAATAAATAGCTCATATGGTGGTGTTCCTGTATCTTTTCACAGGAAAATGCACTGGGTTAATGAGTGATATAACATGATTATTTCTCTCATTTGAGGTAGCAGTCCACTCTTATTTTAATGGCACTTTCTAACTCTCTTTCTCTTGTTTTGCGCAGCCTAGAACTTAAAAAAGAAAAGTCAGGTGCTACCAAGGGAAGTCAACTAACTCAGCTTTGCTGGTTCAGAAACTCAACCTTGTCATCATTCCACACTAATTGTCAAGGGACTAGTGCATAAATCCAGAACACCATTTTAAAATTATTATAAAAAAGAGTATACTGCCATGGGTATCCAATACTTGCCTCCTCGGGCCAGTTCATTTTCTTTCTGAAGGAAGCGGCATGAAACAGTCAAGTTCTCACCAGAAGTCTGCTCTGAGAGCATGGAATCAGAAAGGAAGGGTTAGGTATTATGGAGGTCTGGTGGCATCAGCCTTCATGACCAGATGGACCTATCCATCTTCACAAAACCTGATGGTCAAGTTTGTGAGTCATCTCTGCTCCAGCTCAAAGTACTGTGGGCATGTGCCTCTGTGAGGTTTTCTGTTTCCACCGCTGATCAATGCCCCTTGAATTGACACTTTTTTAGATGACATTTTTTTTCAGTCTGGTTTTAGACAAGAGTAGGAGTCATTCTGGAAATTGGAAGTGATATTTCTTATTTATTGTCCTATCTATTATGTTTTTAATTAATAGCTGTAGTGTCTGAAGCCAACCTAATTCCATGTATTTCATCCACACTGATTGTGACTAGGCACTGTCCTTGTGAGCCTTTGAAAGACCTACTCATTAACACCCAGTCAGATAAGCTTTACAATCCCTTAACCATAGTCATGAAACATAACAACAACAAAAAACAGATTCTACTCCTGTCTCTCCATCCTACTAAGACACTTGTGTCCTTAAGCAATTATCAACCCTTTGAAGCTTCAGTTCCTTTTTCTATGTAATTAGAAATGGAACTAGGAGATCCTTCTAGCTCTACGCACCCATGGTTCCCTTAACAGGAAGAAGCATCCATTCTTTGTAGGAATATAGCCATTGGGAATAGTTGGTAACACATTACTTTAAAATGCAAACCATATCTTTAGGGGGTGTTGACACAGGTTTAGTATCACTAAATGAATTCTATCCATATTTCCAAAGAAGAAGAAAAGATCAGGAAGTAGATTTAAGTTGGTTTTTTCCTCACCCTGTTCTTACAGAGATCAATATTTGAACTAGATCAATATATGTTGACTGATCTCTTAAGATGTTTTCTTTAACACATTATCATGCTAACAAAGGTGGGAGATTGTTTTGTTTTTCTAAGATTAAGATATATATACATGGTCTGCTGTTTGTTATCCAAGTGCAAATAAACTTTGATAGAACTTGATCTTGGTACTACAAGGGTGCCAGTGTTTCAAGCAAAGGGTGCCAAAGGTTAGGTGTAAATTTGATGTCATTCTTGAAGTAAAGAAAGACATCGCTGTGGCACTTCTGATTCCCCACGTTTCAGCTCACCTTGCCTTGTACCATTAGTTGCTTGAGCATGAGCAATATGTCCAGCATGACAGAGAACCTTTATGCTCTGATAGGCTTTGTTCTTTTTCCAGGTGGTTGAATTCTGTAACTCAAGTACCCACAACCAAGAAGCCCCAAACCTGCAGAACCAAATGTGTAACCTCAGAAGTACATGGGATGTAATCTCAGACTCCAGTGACTTTAATCACAGCTTTCCCATGAACGGGACTGCGCTTCCGCCTCCTCCCACGTTCTCGCTTGTCCAGGCTGGCGACAAAGTGGTCTGTTTAGTGCTGGATGTCTCCAGCAATATGGCAGAGGTAACGTTTCAAACCAGCATGGTTGTAAAACATTCATCTTTTTCTTTTTCTATCAGATTTTAATTCTTTTTTTTATTTTCAGAGACTAAGGGTAGAGGAAGGAGTGGCCAAAGGTTTGGAATAGTCTTGGTCAGCATTATTTTAGGAGGACAAGGGGAACAAATTCAGAATGTGGCCCAGAAACTGAGATAATGCAGATAAATGAAATACACAGATAATTCCAAACTTTCATTTTTATTACTAATTGCAACATTTTCCAACCAAGACCCTTTCTTCAAAACTCTGACATGTAACAAAAGGCTCTGGTCTGGCCACATTCCGCTCACTGGTAAAGATCCTCGGTGGAGGCAAGAGACTGTGAATTGGCAGCAAATGTGCATATCTGTTATGTGTATATTTTCCATGTCACTGTGGACAGAAAACCATATCTCAGTTATCTGGCAATCTAGACGTCTTCCAGAAACTCACTCTCCAAAACTCAGCTAGTGGTTAAAGTCTCAGTCTCCGAAACCAAGCCGCTATGCTTTAAGTCCTGGCTCCTTCCCTTACTGTCTGTGTAATCAAGAGCAAAGGAACTTCTCTAGACCCACTGTTCTCATCTGGGAAACAGGGAGACACATAATACCTACTTTCAGTGTTGTGACAGTACCAGCTTCTACAGGCTCACAAGAGTCAATTGCTAAATTTTTAGGAAATCTGCAAGCCAGTTGTTTTTACACTATTTTTTAAACTATTATTTATATCAGTGAACTACAGCCCAATGGTCCAAGCTTGGCCCTAAACCTGTTTTGGCACAGCCCACAAGCCAAGAATGAGTTCATTTTTGAAATGGTTTAGAAAAAATACCCAGAAAATAATATTTCATGACATGTGAAAATTAAACGAAATTCAAATTTCAGTGTCCTTAATAAAATTTTATTGGAACATAGCAATGCTCATTGGCTTACATATTATTTATGGCCACTTTAGGGCTAAAACAGTAGAGTTGAGTAGTTGCAACATAGAACATATGCCCACCAAGCCTAATACATCTACTATCTACCCTTTTGCTCTGGAGGTCATTTCTGGTCTATGTTCTTGATCTATGCTCTTGGGGTCATTTCTGGTCTATTATATCTGTTTGGATTGGCTACATGTCACTTCCCAACTGTGCATTTAGTGACATCACATGGACAGCTTAAAATCAGCCTCGGTGGGAGTATTTACTCCACATAAATTGTTAACGGCAACAAATCAGGTTTTTCCTCTCTCTCTCATACACACATACACATGCACACACACACCAGAAAGCCAGTTTTTTAAACATTTACCAGCATACCATTATGTACTTCATAAGGTTGTTGAAGGGAAATAAATGAGATAATATGAAGTTTTGGGGTCATAAGTGGTAGCTGTTGTTTTGTATATAGTACTATCCCAAGGGAGATTTTATCCTCTTTTATTATCTGAATCAGCAGTCCTGGAAATTTTGCCTTTTTTGGCTTGCCTCTGAAATATTAGGAACACCGCCAGTCCATTCAGCTCCTGGGTAATTTTATAATCTTGCCTAGCTGTAGTTGACAAGGGCACAATGTTCTCAAATATGGTTCTCAGGGTCATTTATATCAGCTATCTGCCTGTCTTGAGCAACCATAAATTTATTGCAAGGGAAAGATAGTTGCACTTGAGAGAAAACCGAAAAGAAGCAGAAGAGAAATAAGCTTAAAGTAAAAGTCATGGCAAAGCCAACTTCCCTCCCTTTTCCTGATAATACTATCATTGAACCGTCATGGCTACTCATTTGTTTATTAGGTGCTTCCACTGCTGTCTTGGGGGATACAGAAGTGACAGAATAGGGTCTATGCTCTGAAATACAACCTAATGAGTGAGACATGACACACACACATGTGAGTAAATACAGTTGAGTGTGATGAAGCTCCACAGAATTGTGAGGCATCATCTACTTCTGTAGAAGAAAGTGACTGAGGGAAAGACCTAAAGCCAACATAATACTCAATGGGCAAAAACTAAAAGCATTTCCCTTAAGAACAGGAATAAGACAGGAATGCTCACTTTCACCACTCTTACTTAACATAGTACTGGAAGTCTTAGTCACAGCAATCAGACATGAAGAAAAAATAAAAGGGATCCAAATTGAAAAGGAGGAAGTGAAATTGTCATTATTTGCAGATGACATGATATTATACATAGAAAACCCTAAAGACTCCATCAAAAATCTACTAGACTTAATAAATAAATTTGGCAAAGTAGTAGGATACAAAATTAACATCAAGAAATCAACAGCATTCTTATATACCAATGATGAAGTCACAGAAAGAGAAACTAAACAAATAATCCCATTTACCATAATGGCAAAAAAATTAAGATACCTAGAAATAAACTTAACCAAAGAAGTAAAGGACCTATTTGCAGAAAACTACAAGACACTGAAAAAGGAAATAGAGAAAGATATAAAAAAGTGGAGCGCATACCTTGTTCATGGATTGGAAAAATTAACATCATTAAAATGTCCATATTACCCAAAGCAATCTATAGATTCAATGCAATCCCCATCAAAATACCAATGACATATTCACAGAACTAGAACAAATACTTCAAAAATTCATATGGAACCAAAAAAGACCACGAATAGTCACAGCAATCTTGAAAAAGAAGGACAAAGTAGGTGGGATCACAATACCAGATATCAGGTTATACTACAAAGTGACTGTAATCAAAACAGCCTGGTACTGGCACAAGAACAGGCAAGTGGAACAGAACAGAGAACCCAGAAATAGACCCAAGACATTATGCTCAATTAATATTTGACAAAGGAGGCAAGAACATACATTGGTGTAAAGACAGCCTCTTTAATAAATGGTGTTGGGAAAATTAGACAGCTACATGCAAAAAAAATGAAACTAGACCATCAACTTACACCATACACAAGAATAAACTCAAAATGGATAAAAGACTTAAATGTGACCCCTGAATCCATAAAAAGCCTAGGAGAAAATGTAGGCAACAAAATTTCAGACATCATATGCAGCAGAATTTTCACTGATACATCACCTAAGGCAATAGAAACAAAGGGAAAAAATGAACATATGGGACCACATCAAACTAAAAAGCTTCTGCACAGCAAAAGAAACAATCATCAAAATGGAAAGGCAACCTACTGTATGGGAGAGCATAATTGCCAATGATATATCAGATAAGGGGTTAATTTCCAACGTATATAGAGTGCTCATACAACTCAACAAAAGGAAGACAAAGAACCCAATTAAAAAATGGGCAGAGGAGCTAAATAGACACCTCTCCAAACAGGACATACAAATGGCCAAGAGACGTATGAAGAAATGTTCAACATCACTAATCATCAGAGAGATGCAAATTAAAACAACAATGAGGTATCACCTCACACCTGTCAGAATGGCCGCCATCAACAAATCATCAAACAATAAGTGTTGGTGAGGATGTGGAGAAAAGGGGACTCTAGTACACTGCTGGTGGGAATGCAGACTGGTGCTTCCTCAAAAATTAAAACTATGGTGTTTCCTCAAAAAATTAAAAATTGAACTTCCATTTGACCCAGTGATCCCACTTCTAGGAATATACCCTAAGAAGCCTGAAACACCAATCAGAAAGAATATATGTACCCCCATGTTTATAGCAGCACTATTTACAATAGCTAAGATCTGGAAACAGCCCAAGTGTCCATCAGTAGATGAATGGATAAAAAAGCAGTGGTACATATACACAATGGAGTACTATGCAGCTATAAGAAAGAAAGATCTCTTATCCTTTGAGATTACATGGAGAGACCCTGAAAGTATTATCCTAAGCAAAACAAGCCAAGCAGAGAAAGACAAATATCACATGATCTCACTTATATATGGAATATAATGAACATAACAGTGTGAGGAATTGGGTAGACCCAGAGACGTGGAAGTAGGGTACAGACTGAAAACTCTAAGAAGAGGGAGTGGTGGGGGGAGGGAAGAGATAAACCACCGAACTTATATGCATGTACACATAACTGATGGGCACAAACAACAGAGCCGGGTACGGGATGGTGGGATGGGGAGGAGGGTGTCAATGGGGGGAAAAAAAAGAAACATCTGTAACATAAATAAATAAATAAATAGAAAGTGACCGAGGGTGTCAATGGGGAAAAAAAAGAAACATCTGTAATTAAATAAATAGAAAGAAAGAAAGAAAGAAAGAAAGAAAGAAAGAAAGAAAGAAAGAAAGAAAGAAAGGAAGGGACCACGGAAGACCTCACTGAGAAGGTGAACTTGGAGTTGAACCTTAAAGGATGAGAAAGTACCTGCTAGGTTGGGTGAGGTGAGGGAGATGAAGGGAGGACATCCCAGGAAGAGTATGTGCCATGACTAACAGGCAAAGTTCGAAGGATTTGTTCAGAAAAGCTGCATCAACTGGTATGGTCATAACTAACACTGGGTGGCTCTAAGGAAGTGGCGGATAAGGTGGAGATATGGTATGATTTTGAGAGAAACTGAAGACATGGAGTTAATAGGACCTGGTCAAAGATATGGGGGCTGATAACAAGGAGGAATGAAAGAGTGTTCCAGGCCCTGGCCAGTTTGGCTCAGCGGTTAGAGCATTAGCCTGTGGTCCCAAGAGACCTGGGTTCAGTTCCCGCTAAGGGCACGTACCTCATTTGCAGTTTGTCCCCGGCCTGGTTGGGTTGTGCGGGTGGCAGCCACTCGATGCGTCCCTTTCCCATCGATGTTTCTCTCTCTCTCTGTTCCTCTCTCTCCCTCCCACTCTACCTGAACAAAAAAAAAAAAAAGAAAGTGTTCCAGGTTTCTAGTTTAACTTGTTGAGAGTAGAGGCCACAGTTGAGAATAATGAGTTGATGACCATGAGGTGAGCAATAACTACTACTTACTAAGTGCTTACTATGTATCCATTTTGCAGATAGAAAACTGAAGCTAAACAAGATAAGTAATTTCTCTCTGGTCACTTAATTAGCAAAAGTTGAAGGCAAGATTCAAAGTCCTTGTTTTACCTACTCTACCAACTTACCTCTCAATATTGTCAGGGAAATAATAGTTGGGAAAGGAGGAAATGAAGGGAAAATGTGCAAAGTTTGAGATACCTGTGGGACATTAAATTGGTGGTGTTTCCTAAGCAGTGTGAAATGCAGGTACAGATGTTAAGAGAGTTGTCTGGGTTGTAGATGGAAACTACAGTTATCACCGAACAGTTGGTCACTAGAGCTCAGCTTGCTGTGCTACAAGACATCAAAACAAGTGACCCTAGTGAATTAATCAGTAACATCACCTGCCCCAAACTGGTCACTAATACTAATTTATACTTGGCTAGTAGTGCAAAGAGTAACTGTACTGTCATATATATATGTCTCAGTTAATACTCACAGCAGTTCTGTTTTAATAAGTAACAAGTATATTATTATCCCTACTTTACAGATGAAGTGCTCAGCCTAAGATGACCATTATAACAGAAGGTAGTGCCCAGATAGATACTTACGACTGCCACTCTCTACCATAGGTCTCTTCACAACGTTTCCTCTTACCCGGACTGAATTTTAAAAGAAGCAACTACAAATATAGTCTCAATTGGTGCTATAGATATTTGAATTTTGAGTTGGAAAGAAATAGTGAAGATATGTGTTCTTAGAGAATGGTAATTATAAACAATTGGTTGGGGACAGAATTCCAAACCACTCCCACCAACCAGAAAGCATTCATTTTTGAGCCTGCAGTCAAGCTAACAGTATCTAGCATTGTGTATCTCTGTACAACTCAAAAAATTACAATGTGCCAAACTGGGGTGGTTCAATGGTTGAGCATTGACACATGCACTGAGAGGTTGCCAGTTCAATTCCCAGTCAAGGCACATGCCCAGGTTGTGGGCTACATCCCCAGTGGGGGGCATGCAGGAGGCGGCCAATCGATGTTTTCTCTCATCGATGTTTCTATCTCTTTCTCCTTCTCCTTTCCTCTCTCTCCCTGATATCAATAAAGAAAAAAATTACAATGCAAAATCCTAAAGAATTAACAGAGATATTTGCTTATTAGGTTACTTAGTGATACTTTTGCCTACCAACCAAATGTTACCTTTTTCCTTTTGGGGACTTAGGCTGACAGATTCCTTCGACAGCAGCAAGCAGCAGAATTTTACTTGATGCAGATCGTTGAAATTCATACCTTTGTGGGCATTGTCAGTTACAACAGCAAAGGAGAGATCAGAACCCAGCTACACCAAATTAACAATGATGATGACCGAAAGCTGCTGGTTTCATATCTGCCTGCCATGGTGTCATCTGAAGCAGAAACCAGCATCTGCTCGGGGCTTAAGAGGGGATTTGAGGTACAGTACTGCAAGCCTCGGATCACCATCACTTTCCTTTCCCCCCATGTTTTATCTGAGTTGCTTATGATACGGGGCAATCTGTTATAATGTAGTCATAACAGCCTTAACTATAGGAGAGTAATGATGGATTATTGTTAAGGTCAGGAACCATGCCTTGTTCACGATTGTAATCTCTGTGCCTAACCCAGTACCTGATATGTAATAGTTGCTTAATAACTGCTTGTTGAAGAAATGAGTAAATAAATGAAAACAACAGCCCAGGCTGGGAGACTCCAGCATCATGTGAACACTTTCTGAACTTGTTCCTGTCAATTCTGGCACTATCCCAGCTGTGACCATTGGGTTGGCCAATCAAAATCAAAATGTCTGGCTCCTGCCTATACTCATACCAGACCTCAAGCATATGAGACTCAAGGCCAGAGGTATGTTCCAGGAATGACAGAGTTCATTTAAATTAGCATAAGTTTAGATTCAATATCTGAGATGCAATCATCAAACATCTGGTAGCAAGCAAAACACACCAATTGCTAATGTTGCTGCCCATAGGCAAGTGTTGCTCACCTTGGCTGCCATTGAAATCACCTGGGAATTTAAAAAATCCTGATGCCTAGGTATCATACCCAGAGAGTATGATTTAATTGATCAGGGGTGTGGCCTGACCATTAAACATCTGTGTCTAATGTGTAGCCATAGTTGACAACCACTGTTCTCAGGCCCCTATTGGTCACTCAGTGGATCTCAGAGGCCAGATCTCACACAGTCAAGCTCCCTCATATCCTCCACGAAGGACTCTATTCCGAATTAGCGGTATATCATGGTGATTGGAGCAGAGAGTCCCTGACCACAAGCAAATGGGCAATGGTACGTAGGATGACAAGTGCCGTGACGGGGTGGTGAGGACTGAGTGGGGATGGAGTGCAGGGTGCTACAGAGGACCTCAGAGAAGCACATGCCCATTGGTGGAGAATTTAAGATGGAGTCTGCTCAGGAAGACTATTTGAATTACATTTCCTTCCGAATGACTGATATTCCACGTTCAGGTGGCTGAAAAACTGAATGGAAGAGCCTATGGCTCTGTGATGATATTAGTGACCAGTGGAATTGATGAGCATATCAGCGACTGCTTACTCACGGTGTTCCGCAGTGGTTCGACCATTCATACCATTGCCCTGGGTTCATCTGCTGACAACAACCTGGAGGAATTGTCACATCTTACGGGTAAATAGATATCTACAAACTTATATTTTAGAGCATTTTCTTTCAGTTTGAATATTCAAAGCATAACAGTGAAACAAGATTATGTCAACAGAATACATGGCTGAATTGGAAAAAAAATAGAAACAGTTTTCGTAAGGAAAAAAACCCCACAAGAATCATTACTAAAATTTGCCTAAATTTTGCTGGATTTTTTTTTTTTTTACATTTCACTTAGAAGGTGAAAATTATATACATCCAATGAAAACATTATGTTTTTATAATTTCTTTGTTAAACCAGCCTGAGCATGTATAATTATGGAGCTAAACAATATGTTTAAGCTTAAATGCACTAACTTCTATAATAAAGACACATATAATATTGAAAGCTACATATCTTTTTTTTTTTTTTTTTTATCCTCACCTGAGGACATTTTTTCTTTTTGTTGTTCAGATAGAGTGGGAGGAACAGAGAGAAAGAGAGAGAGAGAGAGAGAAACATCGATGTGAAAAGGACACACCGAGTGGTTGCCACCCGCAGGACCCAACCAGGGTCGGGGACACACTGCAACCGAGGTGCGTGCCCTTAGCAGGAACCAAACCCCGGTCTCTCTGGACCACAGGCCGACGCTCTAACCGCTGAGCCACACCGGCCAGGGCAAGCTACATATCGTTTTTGGTTCTAAATGGGGCACAGAATAATTGTATCTTATATTCTTTCTAGTCAACAAAAATGGGTATGCTGCCTTGAAAACTGAGTTGGGTTTTACTGAATTATTTTTTAAAATAATATTTTCAGAATGTAAATATAAACATATAGCAATGTAGATTGCAATTAACCTAGATTATCCAGGAATTATATTCATTACAAGTGGAGTAAATATATACTCAATGAAGTTTTTTTTAGTATGTACGGAGTTCTGGACCCTGACTTTACAGCTGTGAGCAGAAGAGACGAAACCACCCCTCTGTGCTGCTCACGGGGTGGGGGGGGCCGTAAGGGTGCCACGCAAAGCAAATCAAACACAGCCCCTATTTCTCACAACTAACCCTCTCATGCAAAGAAAAGTTGTTGGAAAAGGCCTACATTTTATTTTTGTATTCTGTTACACATTTTAATAGTTAACATCCAAATCATGTATTTCAGGAGGTTTAAAGTTCTTTGTTCCAGATAAATCAAACTCCAACAGCATGATTGATGCTTTCAGTAGAATTTCCTCTGGCACTGGAGACGTTTTGCAACAATGTATTCAGGTCAGAATTTCCTCAATGTTATACTTACAATTGGATTTGGAGGGGCAGGGAGGGGAGGAAGCAAAGAAAATAGATGAATTGTGTTAACAGCCTCATCACCTTATTTGAATATGTAATGAGCTTCCTGGCATTACCAGAGCCAGGCTTAATTTTTACCTGATGTCTGTACTGCTCAGCCCTAGGAGTCATTTTCGGAAATTGCTCTTCAAGGTCTATAAGCGGAGCTTGCTCCTTCCTATGGCTCAAAATGGGGGTGTGTGGGGATAAGGCCCAGAAGAAAAATAAGAAGCCAGTGCATTTAGTTTTAGCTCCTCTGGTCATGAAAAGTATCACCTATTTCATTAAATTCTAAAAATTCCTAAATATCTCTTTAACGATCACACTTTACTTGATTTTGCTCACAAAAGCTTCCTCTAATCAAGCCATTTTTTAAAAGGGCCAACATTTTTCTTTCAAGTAGTTTACAGATATTTTGAACATAACTGAACAAAATTTTGTCTGCTGTTTCCTCACAAATGGTAAGTGAACCTGCCAAGGTAATGGCTTCTTGTAAACAATGAAGTCAGTAAATTAGTCTGAGGAACTTTTTAACACGAAGATTATATGCACATCGGAAAGGCAATAACCATAATACCATGATTAGAAGTGAAAACAGGTAAATTAATAATGACAATCTATATTTGAAAAATGGCTTTCTGAATGATCCTTCTACCCTCTGATTTCCTCTTTAATAATATGAAATCGAAACAAACGTAAAAAGTAACAAAATATTATTCATATGGCTCAAATTAACCTTATGTCTCCAAATTTGGCCACCTCTCCCCACTTGTTGTTATGTCATTGTTGACCCCAGCAGTCTGCGGGCAGAAACTACATCGAAACCCTGACCAGTGCTCAGGGCCCTCACAGAATGTGGCGCAGGGTCAGCAGCTCACAAACACCTGTTAAACTGAGTTTAGCAAACAGTCCACAATGTCTTTGCTGTCATCCACCAATAAAGTTTTATATGCTTTTCAAGTCTGAGCAATTTTACGGTGTTACTAATGAATTTAATAAATATAATTTTTCAAAGTTACTTACAGACTTGTATCCATTGTGAATACACAATGATTAAATGCTGTTGAAGCGTTTTATTAACTATAACAAAATATCTTATATCTACTGTACTTATATAATACACTATATTTTGCTCTGGCAACATATTTTTATATGAAAAATAACGTAAATATAATATGTGTCACAAATAAGTTTTATTTTTGTCAGACAAGTAAAGAAAAAGATGGAATGAGTGTGCATACACTAGAAACTTTCCTATTTGTATTCTCTGGAACAGCTTGAAAGTGTGGGTGAGAACGTGGAACCCCACCATCAACTGAAAAACACCGTGACTGTGGATAACAGCGTGGGCAATGACACTGCCTTTCTCGTCACATGGCAGACCAGTGGTCCCCCTGAAATGGTTCTATCGGATCCAAATGGAAGAAAATACTTCACACGTAATTTTATCATCAATCAAGCTTTGAGGACTGCTCGCCTCTGGATTCCGGGAACTGCTAAGGTAGGTGTGGTGTTCTTAACGACAACATTGAGTCAGGTATGTAACTTTCAGATGAATCACATCATTAAATGCATTGTGTAAAGGAAATCTTATTCTGATATACCAAAATTTTACTTTAAACTTATGAGGGCATTTTGTGAATGTTAAAAATTAAGGGGAACTAATACTGTATGTTCGAAACTTCAACAGTGGAAATTAGTATATATGTAGTAAAAATGTTTGCTTACTTCTTTGTTTCAAAATTCATATAGACATACTTATCTATACATTTTGAAAAACCTTCTACCTAGAATTTATAATATGAGTACATATGTTTTTGAGCTATGTGCTGAGTCTTGTTTTAGGTGCCATGATAAGAATAAGAACAGGGTTCTCAGAGCACACAGGAGGGACACGCAGGTGGGATGGGGAGTGGGGGAGGGGAGAAGGCGTCCTGGACGTGAAAATATAAAAATGGAAGTATGAAGGATAACAGGGACAAAAGTGTGAATGACATTCTGAGCAGAGCTAATAGCACATAGAAAGGCTCAGAGGAAAAGAACATGGGTCTTCATACAACTACAAGTAGTTCGGTATGGATGACCTACGAACAGCATGCAAGGTGGAAATTTAGGGGAAGAAGAGTGGAGGGAGCAGTGAGGCTAGAAAGATTAATGGCAGCCTCGTCAGCAAGGGCTCTGGCCCGCTGAAAAAGGAGCAGGAGTTTCCCTAAAAGTAAAGGGAAACCACTAAAAGTTCTAAGGAGGGTGGTGAATTGACCAGATCCTCTCTCGCCCTCACTGGGTGCAGTCCCTCCTTAGCACTGGTGGCCCTCCTTCCCCCCAGGTCACTGTTGAGAGCATCTGCCCTGCCTCCCTGCCTCTGGGCTAGCATCCTTCCCATCCATTCATCATCTCTATCAGGTGATCCTTCCGAAGCACAGATCAGATCAAACCTGCCTCCTATTCAAAACTCTTTGGTGGTCTCAGGATAAAATCCATGTGGTTAGTCTTATATACCAACCTCTTCATATTCTGGCTTCTGCCAAAGCTTATCTCTTTTTTTTTTCTTTATTGGTTTGAGAGAGAGAGGAAGAGAGAGTGGGGGGGAGAGAGAGAAACAACGATGAGAAAGAACATCGATTGGATGCCTCCTGCACGCTCTCCACTGGGGATTTGGCCCACAACCTGGGCATGTGCCCTGACTGGGAATTGAACCGGTGACCTCTTGGTGCTTGGGTCAATGCTCAACCACGGAGCCACACCAACCAGGCCAAAGTTTATCTCTTAACCCTTCTCCCAGATACCCTATGCTCCACTCCTACTGAACTTTTCTCCAAACTCATCATGTTTTTCACACACTTGTGCACAAGATCCAGGAGCATTTTACCTACTTCTCGTTGCCTTTGCCTGACCTCTTGGGCTGGATCAGGTGCCCCATATGAAAACACTTATGACACCCAAACAGAAGTGTTTGATGTGAAGGTTCCTGCCACGTATCTGTTACTAATGTTATGATTACAATAGGTCAGCAATTTTCAACTGGTGTGCCATAAGAATTTTTTAAACATGCAATACTTGACTATTTAGTCAGGGGCACTTGCCTCTTTTCCCTTAGATTTTCAAATAAAAAAATGGCAACAGCCAACACAATTAGCTGTCTGGTGTGAATGAATCAAAATTATATGCATTTTTCTGTTAGATTGGCAAGAAATATATATTTTTTGGTGTAACACAGAATTTTAGTAATTAGTTATTGTGTGATGAACTAATTAGTAATTAGTTTATATGAGATGAAAAAGGCTGAAAATCGCTAAAATGATAGGTGATGATAGATAGATAGATAGATAGATAGATAGATAGATAGATAGATAGATCATCTTGATGCTTGAATTGTGACTTCACTGGAAAATGGTAAATGAATCCCAACAAAAAAGTCTGGGTAAGGAGTGGTGGCATCTTACCTTCCCATAATGGGTCACACGCACACCCTAACCCATGGTTTCCTCTCGTTTCTCCTGCTTGATTGCATTCCTCTGGTTACTTCCAGGGTTTCAGAAGGAGCAGCAGCAGGAAAGACTATTTATGTACAGTTTAATTAAAAGAACAAATTTTACTACAGTGTAGCTTAAGCTTTGTTCTTTCAGACATCATTTTGCAGGTTTGCCCTCAGGCAGTCTAGACAGGCCAAAGAGAATGATGTTTAGCAATATTTCTATAAATTACTCAACACAGACATTGTAGAACCCTGGCCAATTACAAAAGAGTATTCCTTTTCTTCATCCCTAATAGTGTATGTGGGTTTTGTTGCTTGAGATTTGGGGGTATGGCGAGGGTTTGGGGGAAGTGGAGGAAAGGTAGGATACGTACTATTGCCTTTAGTAAAGATCATCCACGTCAATCATAACTGTCTGCTTCATTTGCTGTAATCTTCTCTGTTAAATAAAAGGAATAAAAACACTGAGCCTCCTCTTGGGTGAAGGGGCTCAGATTAATATTTGCAAAGTACTTGAAAGCTTTGAAACACTGCTATCATTATCTTCTAAAATGCAACTCAAGACAGGTCCTTTTCTGCAAATAAGTTCCGGGTATAATTCCCTAAAGAGGTACCTAAGAAGGTATATTGTCTGTACTGTGAGAGCCATGTAAATACTGAGTTGTTATCCCTTAAGCAGTATTTCTATTCCTGACATTCCTTTGTAGTATTTTAGAAAAATGCAACATCAACAAAACAAGAACAAAAAACCCTAGGAGCTTAGATTTATGCTTTAAAAGTAAGGGTTTATCTTTTCCTTCACAGTTGACTAGACAGAAACCCTTTGTTTTGCAGCCCGGGCTCTGGACTTACGTGCTGAACAATACCCACCATTCTCGTCAAGCTCTGAAAGTGACAGTGACCTCTCGCGCCTCCCGCTCAGCCCAGCCTCCTGCTACGGTGGACGCCTTTGTGGAAAAAGACAGCACCTCTTTTCCCCATCCCGTGATGATCTATGCAAATGTGAGAAAGGGGTTTTATCCCGTTCTCAACGCCACTGTAACTGCTACTATTGAGCCGGAGACCGAAGATCCTGTTACGCTGAAACTTTTTGATGATGGAGCAGGTAAAAATGAATGCCGTGTCATTTTTCATGTTCTCAAAAGTTGTTGTGATGCTGCAGTCTCCGTATTAAGGTTATCTTTTTTTTTTTTATTTTTTATCTTCATCTGAGGACATTTTTGCATTTATTTTCAGATAGAGCTGGAGGGAAAGAGAGGGGAAGAGAGAAAGAGAGAAACATCCATGTGAGAGAGACACACAGAGTGGCTGCCACCCACACAACCCCAACCCGGGCCGGGGACAAATTGCAACGGAGGTACGTACCCTTAGCGGGAACCGAACCCGGGACTCTCTGTTCCGCAGGCCGATGCTCTAACCACTGAGCCAAACCGGCCAGGGCTAAGGTTATCTTTAATATTCTTTCAGTTAAATTATTTTTCTCATCCAATCTTATGAGGTTCTCATAGAATCAGTGGTGTGCAAAGTAGGTACAAGTCGCAGCTGCCCAAGGAAAGCAAACGTGAGCTTGGGAAAAGAGAGCATCCACGACGCTCCTCAGAGTGGCTGTGCATGAGCAAAATGGTGAGAAAAAGTCACTAGGTCTCGGCTTCCACCTGTGCAGTGACACTGGCCCCACTCACTCAGTGAGTTCACTCTGGAGCAGGTCTGTGTTCTTGTGACATACCCGTCTTCCACTAAGACTCACCAGCTTTCCTATTCACTGAAATAATCAGAATGAACAATTAAAATAGCAAATGGAAACCCAAGAAACAAGAAGGGGGATGCAATGACAGTGAATCCATTTTCTCTCCTTTAACCTAATAGTGAAAAGAAAGTTGGAAATTGAACTTGTGACCCATAAGACAACCCTAGACGTTCTTTAGCCAAGTAGCTGGGTCGATAAGAGGGCATAGCCAGAGCCTTTCACATGTGTGATTTGGTCACAAGAAGACCAAACCAGCAAGCCTGGGAAATCAAGATGGAGATTCTCCCGCCACAGAGAAAACAAAGTAAAACCAAACAAAGCCCTACTTTGAAGCACTCACTCTGCACACGGAGCTTCAGGGCTTCCTATCATACAGCACAGTCAGCACAGCATGGAGCCGGCAAAGGGCAGCATCCGGGCTCTTCCTAACTCTTCTGACTCCTTTGTTGTTTAACCTTCCTGTTCTGTGTGGGGTTTTTGTTGTTGTTGTTGTTGTTGTTTGCCCTAAACTAAATTCTCAGAATGACAATAGACCTCAAAGTCTTGGTTAGCAGCCCCAAGTGTCTGGTCTTATAATAAAACCATATTCCTTCCCTCTGTAGTTCCAAAGATAAAATTTTTAGGAGTCTGGTTTGGCATCCCATTAGCATCTTGCCATGGCAATCTTATATGACATTTATGAAACAAAAGTTCATTTAAAAGATTTTAGTTCAAGTCTACCTCTGCGGGATACCAGAGAAGTCCTCTTGTTTTGTCTGTTGGCATGGATCCAAATGAACTTGCAAACTCTTGAGTGTTTATTCATGGCCACACTTTTCATTTTTTGTATACAGTCCAAGAGTGCACGTTGCAGGATGTTCCCAGCCTCTGGCCTACAGGAGAACAGATACAGTTATCTTGGGAAAAGTCACATGAATAGATTCAATTGGCTTTAATATTTATTCCCTAGAACCATTTTATTTGATGTCTAAATTTACACTCTGAAAGAAACAATGACAAAGATTGTTCAGGCATTAAAGTGTAAATTCAGATCCCCACGCCCACATTTAGCTCACATGTATTGTCTAATATTTATTTTTATATTAGAAGTGGTTTTTATCTGCTACATAAAATTAGTGAATAAAAGATAATTTTGAGAAAGTTTCCATTATCATTTCTCAACAAAGACGGACCTGATTCATCGTTAAATCGCTAATCAGTACATAAAAACAATTTCTAAACCTACTACAATCGTAAGTTGCTTAGCACTTGTTATTGTAATTAAATCTGCTCCTAGTTTTCTCATGTTAAGGAGCAGCCCTGCCCCTGCACAGGGACTCTAGAACACACGTCGGGGATGAGACAATGCCAGAGCACAGGGCTGGGTGTGTGGTATGAGAACAGGACAAGCTGCTTGCCCAGTGTGGCCACCTGCACTTGAACAGTGAATGGGATCTGCACTTGGGCTAAGCTGTACCTCCCTGCTGCCCTGGAGTCTAGGCCCTCCTGCCGTTCAGCCATGGACTTGGTTTGGAACTGAACTGCTCTCCGAGGTTCAGTGCATAAGGAAAGAAGCCTAGCACTGGCCAGGCTCTTAGAAGGTCTCCTGAAGCAAGGCACAAGGGGTGGAACCAAAGCCGGTCACACTTCAAGTCAGTGAGTCCCTTCCGATCTAGAGCAACAGTCCCATGTACCCTCTAATGAAAAAATTAAATGATATCACAGTTTTCTTAATCAACCATAAATATTTTTTTCATCAGGAATTTTTTCTTTTTCTTATCAGGCATTCAGGGCATTCATAAACCCCTTGAAATTATGTGAAAATGTGCATATGTGTATGTACATCAATTTCCCGCAAACAGGTCGCTTTTATCTTCAAAGGATCTGTGACTATAAACAAGCTTAAAAATGCACTCGGTTTCCGTGGGAAACTAGTATTAGTTTAATGACAGGAAGAAGAGCTCTAAAGGTGATCATTCCATGTTTGCTTAGCACTGAAGCAAGTCCAACTCATTTGTCTTTAGAAAATAATTTGTCAGCCCTGGCCCGTCTGGCTCAGCGGTTGAGTATCGGCCTGCAGACCAGAGAGTCCAGGGTTCGATTCCTGCTAGGGGCACATACCACAAAAAAATAAAATAAAATGTTAAAAAAAAAGAAAAGAAAAGAATTTGTCATAGGTTAAGGGGAAAATTATGGAGCCCTTAGATTTTTATTCACCTGATAATATCAAAAATAGTTACGACCATGACACCATATGCCAAATTGGGAAGAATAAGGGAAGTGAATCTTATTTATTAATGATTTAATTAAATAGTAGTGATCAATTGTGATGATGTGTTGACAGTGAGTTTTTTTCTTATATATCTACAGGTGCTGATGTTATAAAAAATGATGGGATTTACTCGAGGTATTTTTTCTCCTTTGCTGTAAATGGTAGATATAGCTTGAAAGTGCATGTCAATCACTCTCCCAGCATAAGCACCCTAGGCCACTCTCTTCCAGGGAGTCATGCTATGTATGTACCAGGTTACATAACAAATGGTAAGAATCATTATCAGTTATTTGAATAACATCATTTAATGTGTATATAACCGATGAGTGTGTGAGGGTGTGTGGGGTGTGTGTTTGAGAGAGAGGGGAAGACAGGTGAAAGAGAGAGATAGAATTTCACAACTCTTTAGACTTAAGTCTATGCCTAAGTTGTTGACTACCTCTTTACTCTGCAGAGTCATGTTGACAATAGGTCATTCCCATAGATTTCTCCTACCTCCATGTTAGTCATTATTTTGACCTTTTGTGTGTGTGTGATGGTTTCATCGGAATTACTAACAAATAAAAAAGAAAAAGCCATTATTGACTTTTCTCAGTCCCAGCTCCTGCATTTCCTCCACAGAGGTTTAGACAAGAGAAAGAGGCACACAGTTATTAGCAGTTGAGAGAGAGAAGCAAATAACCCAAGCAACCCACATAGAAAATGAGTTCCTGAAAAAATATGACAACTAAATGCTTCCTGAAGACGTTATGTCTTCCTGCAAGAGAAAAGGGCCAAATAAATAGAAGATACACATCTTTTTAACACCATTATTATCGTTTCTGATAGGAAACAGTGGTTAAAGTATAACAAACAGAAATATTCTACTCACTTTTATAATATGATAGCAAAATCATTTCTAAGCATTTTTATTTCAAAACTGCAGAATGTTTATAAATACTTTTCATGTACTTTAGCAGCCATAAAAACTTACTTTGTGTCTAAATATAATACGTGGTTTCTAAATAAATATTCTCTCTTTCGTTTATAAATCAAAGATTTCAGAAGGCCTGGTAGGTGACAAGCTCAATCTTAGGAACTTGGGCACCAGGTAGAATAAGACTTAATTCCACTCAAGGAGCTTACAGGCTACTGACTGGTCTTAGAATCTTTCTAAAACCCATGAGTTCAAAGGATAAAAATATCAGCATCTTGTGTACCATAAGATTAGAAAAGTAATACTCAACTGTGCTCTTATCTGTGTCCTTCATATGGGCTCTTACTAGCATAGAAAGAAAAAGTTAGGTTTCCCAAGGCATGCCTACTATATATAACATTCACTTTATCAGCTAATTTCCAGGTGATGACCTTGAGTACACCTGTCATTGAAAAATGAGAGCTGCTCTGTTTTCACCACCTAATCTCCAGACACAGCAGCATCTACTCCTGTCCTCTCCTCCCCAAGGGCTGGTGTGTCCATTGGATCTGCCCTGGATCCCTGCCAACCGGCTCAGCCCGGGGCCCAAGAGCTCTGCGTTGTGTTTCTGCTCTGCTGATCCCTCTGAGCAGCATCCAAGCATGATTTATTATCTCCCATATTAAAGTACTTCTTGCTGGTCCCTCTTCAGCTACCATCCGCCTTTCTAGTCCCCATCCTCTGGTTCCTTGACATTAATCTAAACCTGCTGTTTGTACTTTCTCACCTCCAATGTATTACTCTGTTCGCTGCAATGACTTCCATCTAAACCACTCTTCCATTCAAATCACTCCACTGGAATTGCTCCGGCCCCGGTCACCTATGACCTCCCCGCGGTTAAATCCAGACACACTGCAGCACTCATTTCACCTGACTTGAGCAGTAGCGACACAACTGATTGATTTCACCTTTGTCATTTCCTGGTTTCTCGGATACGACACTCTCCTGCTTACCTCCTATGCTCTGGACTTTTCCGTCAGGCTCCTTTGCCAGCTTCTCCTTCCCTACTGTGGCCAGTTCTCAGAGCGTAGTCCTAACCTTGTCATTCTGCCATTTGGAGCCACACTGCCTGTGTGGCTTTGGTCAAGTTACTTAGCTTCTGGGTGCTTTAGTTTCATCATCGGTAAAAATGTGGGTAATAATTGTACCCTCCTCATAGCATTGCTGGGAAAATTAAATATCTGATACTTATCAGATATTTAGAAAAGTACCAGGCACTCAGTAAGTGCAATTTATCATTACAGTTGAATTTCTTATTAGATAACATCATTAATCCACATAGCTTTAATAATATCTATATGACTATAACTTCCAAATTCATCACTTCAAAAGTATTAAATCTGGCTGAAACCTCTTTAGGAAATTCAAATCCATGTCTAACTGGCTCCTTGACATTTTAATTAGATGTTTTACAGGAATCACAAACCTTGTAAAACTTACATTTTTAGTCTCCTTCACTTTAGTCTGCTTCTCCTCCCTAATTGTTCACTTTAAAAACCTGGGAGCTACTTTTTGTTGTTGTTGATCAGTTTTCTCCTTTGACATAGTCAAACCCACCACCAGCTTCTGCTGACTTCATCTCCAAAATACACCTCAAACTGCCTACTTTCTGCGTCCTCTCCACTGTGATCACCCAGCCCCAGCTGCCATCACTTCTTGTCTGGACGGTTGGCAATGTCTATCTCAGTGGCCTCTGCTCGCTGTGCCTGAATCCATTCCCCACCGAGAGCAGCCAGAGTGGCCTGTTAGAAAGCAACTGTGATCATTGCCACTGCCCTGCTTCCCCCATCATGTAAGATGACACCCTAAAACCACTACAGTGGCCCACAAGGTCCTGCATGAACGTCTCTTCCATCTCATCTCAATTATACTCCTCGCTGCAACTAAGGTTTTCTAACCTGCAAAGCTCTTCCTCACCTCAGACTTTTATGCAACCTCTTCCCTCTGCCTCGGATATTCTTACTTCTACTCTTTACCTGGCTGACTCATACTCATATTTTAGGAAACCTTAAACATAGCTTCCTTTGTAACACTAAATTACGTAACCTGTGTGATTTTTCTCTCATTGCACCCTGCCTTTTCTCCTTACGTTTATCACAATTTGTAAATTCATGTTTATTAATGTGACTATACATTCCATGTGGTACTGTTTTGTCCATGGTTACTGGTACAGGATATGCCCTCAAAATAGTTATTGAATGAATGAATGAATAAATGAATGAATGAATTGTGGAATACACAAACTCCATTATTCTAAAAATGTAAAGAAAAAAGTTTTAAAATCTCTCTCAGTGATCTGTCAGAAACAAGCTATTCAGGAGGTTGCAATCTGTTGTTTGGGCTCTTCTTTTCTGTGCTGTCCCAGGGAACATTCAGATGCACGCCCCAAGAAAATCCCTGGGCAGGAGTGAGGAGGAGCAAAAGGGGGGCTTTCGCCGAGTCAGCTCGGGAGGCTCCTTTTCCGTGCGGGGAGTTCCGGCGGGCCCCCATCCCGACGTGTATCCACCATGCAAAGTTATCGACCTGGAAGCTGTAAAAGTGGAAGAGGAGGTGACTTTGTCCTGGACAGCACCTGGAGAAGACTTTGATCGGGGTCAGGGTAGGTTTGTTCGCTGCATTACCTATTTTTCTACAAGGAGGCATTCCTAATAACTGTATCAGGTGTTCACCGCATAAAAATTACTTTGGGAGTTTCGAGCTGGCAAAGCGACCGAGGGTTGCCATGGAAAGCTTTGAGTTGTTGGTAAGGCTCTTACGTCATGGAGTCCAGGAATGGGAGCGGGTCAGCTCCCCCAGGACGGAAGAGGCCCTGGTAAACTGGCCAGCGCTAATCGGACAGGAACCTTGACTGCAGACGTGAATAGCACATGTCACGGTGCTCTTGTTAGCGGACAAGGTTCTGCATCACAGAGCATGGGCTTCTGGTACTGGAGGTAAGAGGGTTTCAGCAGATTAAACAGTGACTGTTCCGATTTAGAAGATGGTTTAAGGAAATAATTCCCGTAAGTCATGTAACACTTGGGGCACGTTCCTTCCGCAGACTGGCCATCATTGTCGTTAGGGAGGCTGGCCTGGGGCCTTCTCGCCCTTGCTTGGGTGGACAGTGATGACACTCCTTCTTGACTTCCCAGCTTTCTGGCTTTCACCTGCCTCATCTTTGGATCTCCGTGTCAACACAATCATTTTCCTCAAAGAATAACCTTTTCAACAACTTTGCCGTCACCAAAAAAGGGTTATCATTGATTACACGCTAAAGGGTTTATTTCCCGACCCTTCTGACTGGAATCGCATTGGAGCCAACTTTCTCTATTGAGAGTCGATTTTTTCAATATCTGTCAATAATAGTGACCACTTTGGATTTTTGCCAGTCTTGCTTGCAACATGGGCCATCTTTCTTTGGCTTATAATTCTCTGTTCATGACATCGACAAAGAAGTCTCAATTACAAATAATTCTGTGTTGCTGAGAAAGTCAGTATAGTAGTTTTGTCCTCTTTCATCAAACTTCTCTCTTCTTTCCAGTGAAATACTTTATACCCTGAATTAAAGATTCTCCAAATTTAAAGGCTGGAGATGTAAAACGATTAAAACTGAGCATGGACATGCCCCTTGTCTAGTGGAAACACCTGTAGCTTACATGTAAAAAAAAAAAAGCATTCCCACTCTAGCTTTAAGTTTGGCTGATTGATCTTTAGCAAGTTGCTTAAATTCTATTGGCCTCTGTTTTCTTATATGGAAAACAGGACTAAAACTATCTACTTCATAAGGCCCTGTATAGAAGAAATGAAATGACACATATGAAATCAGAAGGAAGAGAAGGTGTGCCCAGTAAGTTTCCTGGGCTCCTGGTTTGCATCGCCAGAGACTTCTCTAGCTTCTCATTTGGTGTAAGGGCCACAAACACTCACTCCCATCTCTATTTAAAGGTAAGAGTGATGCCTGCTATCTAGTATTGTCCCTTTTCCTCACCGCATCAGAAGCGTGGTAGTGTGTCGAAAGAGACAAACAGAAGCTCACACTCCCGTTACGACTGGGAACCATTCTTTCCAAAAATCCCAATAGTTTCAACTATGCCACTGTATTAAAAGATTAGAAAGAAAGTGAAGGTGTGGAATTAGTAGTTATTGAAAAGAATAAATACAACCAAATGGGACTTTAGTATATAACTGTTATCATAAAGGGCATTAGAAGGAAATAGAGAGAATTTCACTCTAACAGAGAGACCTCAATGATGAGCACGATGATTCAATATAATATTGAAACCTCAAACCACAAAAGATATGTGGGGGATATGGCTGGATATGTATTAAGTTGCTGAGATCACTCAGCTGTAACAGATTTAATGACTCAGCAATGCTAAAATTGACCAACTAGCCATGAGTAGACCAACTAGTGAGAAGGTATCTGTTTAACTCATAAACATGTGATTTGGATGCTTTTTTGTTGTTGTTGTTGTTTTTCACCAATTGTTGTCTAGGAAGGTGTTATCCTCACCTGTATGGCCAGAATTAGAAACAATGGGGGGGGGGGGTAATGTCTCTGTCTTTACAATTATTTTTAAAATGTGACTACATATATTTTATAAGCCTTGTTAGCAATAAATGAACATCTCACATATGGAAAAATATATCAGTATACATCCAGGTACTGGCTCTTCATCATACACAATAGCCTAGAAAAGATGCCTAATTACATAGAACAAACAGAACATTACCAGATCACCACTGTGTTTAGGAATGTACAATTGACCCTTGAACAACACAGGTTTGATCTGCATTGGTCCACTTATACACAGATTTTTTTTTCAATAAATACAGGCAGCCTTTCCTATCTGCAGATTTCACATCCATGGATTCAACCAGCTGTGGATAGAAAACAGTATGTTTCGTATTCCAAATTAAGATTTTTTTCAACCTCAGATTCCCCACTGCTGATCACAAGTACAGTCTTTGATCCAAGGTTGGTGGAAACTGTGGATGCGAAGGGCTGGCTATACTTAAGTTTGGGGAGAGTCAACAGAAATATATGGATTTTTGACGACATGGGGATCAATCCTAACACTGTTCAAGGGTCACATGTATATGGACCAGGCATTATGGAAATGGGTTATTTCCTTGAGTTTTCATTAAAAGTCTGGGGTAAAATAACTGTTAAAACTGAGTACCAAGCATGATCTGTATCTCTGTTATAAAGTTCATTTTCTTTGGGTTTTCTCCAGAAATTAATATGAAAGTATATTATTTACTAACCAACTATTATGTTCCCAGCACAGAGCTAAACATTATATTGATGTAATTTAAGATGGTCATTGCACTACAAGAATTTATAATCCTTTAATGAGAGAAAAAAGGCACAAAATGGTCAAAAAAGCCATTTTACATGAAACACGGTACCATTTTTATGGTTCAGACTTTGGGAGCAACAGATATCAAAAAGGTGTAAAGACCATACGTATGGGTGGGAGGAGAAGAGAGGCCAGGTCCTAATGCCAGGAGCCTGGGCAGAGCCTTTGGAGTGGGGCCAGGCCACAAAAAGTACTACCCTGGAGCCTCCTTCCCTGCCCTGTCTACCCCTACCTACCTAACAGCCTTACTTTCATAAGGCTTCCTCTGACGCCATCATGTTCTTATACAACCACCATTCAAAATATTATCTTTAAAAATTATTTTCCTTTTCTTCCTAGATATCATATCATATTGTATTACATTAATTATATTATATTTCATGTACTAACTGGATATGTCAGTGGATCTAAAGCCTTGTTAGCAATCATTGAAATTATTTTTAATTTTTCTACCTTTTTTTCTGAGTTTCTCATTTGGAATGATTTTCATGAACCTGTTTTCAAGTTTCTTTATTCATCTGTTGTGCCCAAGCCAATCTTAATTCTCTCAAACGAATTTTTTCATTGTAGACTTTTTCAATTCTAGGATTTCCATTTGCTTCTTTTAAAAGTTTCCACATTGCCCTGGCCGATTTGGCTCAGTGATTAGAACCCGCAGATCAGAGAGTCCTTGGTTCCGTTCCCGCTAAGGGCATGTACCTCGTACCTTGGTTGCACGTACCTGTTGGGGTCGTGTGGGTGGCAACCAGTGGATGTGTCTCGCTCACGTGGATGTTTCTCTCTCTCTCTTCCTCACTCTCTCTCTCTCCCACTCTATCTGAAGATAAATGCAAAAATGTCCTTGGGTAAGGATAAAAATTAATAAATAAATAAAAAGTTTCCACATCTCTTCTCAAATTTTCTATCTCTTCATCCACTATATCCAATATTTTCTGAAGACCTATAACATTCCTGATAGTTATTTTAAAGTCCTTGTCTATTAATTTCAAATCTCAATCATTTGTGACTCTGTTATATTTACTGATGTTTTTTCTCAATGACATACCACATTTTGTGTTTCTTTACATGGCTAGTAATTTTTTTGTTATATATTGGACATGTGACATCAAATTATAGACTCCTGAATCTGTTTTTTATCCTGGAGGATTTTGCAATTTTTCTAGTAGATATCTTGGATGATCTTGACTTTGAGGAGGCTTGATTTTACTTTTGACTAGGGTTTGTCTATTTAATTGGCTCTTAATCCTAGGGCATATCCCTTAATTCCGGAACACAATCTTCATTCCTAATCTGTGGATTTTTCTAATGTTTAAAAGAACATCTCAAGGTATGTATTAAGCTCCTCTAACTTGGGGAGAATCATACTCCAAACTCTGTATCTCCCCTGGGGTGGGCAATAGCATAAAATTCTGCTCAGTTTTCAGCATTCTAGCTATTGCTTTTCCCTTGAGCCCTTGATGTTTCGCCCACACATGCATAATTTAGAGGTCTCCCAATGATTTGCGAGAAGTTAATACATGTATTTTGAGCTCATCCTTCTCTGTCCCCTCCCATTTTCAACCAGTCTGGAAATCGCATCCTTGGTCCTCTGACTTCTCAGACCAGTTTTAAGATAGTGGTTTTTTGTTTCAGTGTCAACTACATGTACCAAAGTGGTTAAGTGTCCTCAAAGGAAAAGCTATATAAATATAAATCATTTCTACTCTGGTTCCCTTCTTTAAAGGTTATCTCTCCTCGTCTATCTGTTGTTTATCCGAGTCCAGTGCTTTTTTTCTTAGTATTTTTTTTCTTTCTTTGGAGCTTATACTTGTCATCCTTCTGGAGAGTTCATCCAAGAGAAGTCACTCAGCTGTTACCAGAATGAAGCTTTACATTTTATTTAAAGTGCAAACATTTTTCACATCTTAACATGGATGTATATATTTTGCTTAGGAGGTGTGTTTTTTCCTATGCAGAAGCTTTTTTATTTTATGTATTCAAATTTATCAAATTTTTATTTATGGCTTCTGAACTTTGAGTCTTACTTAGAAGAGCCTTTCCCACTTCAAGATTATACTGGAATTCACCCATGTCTCCTACTAAATAGTTAAGATTTTTATTTTTATTTATTTATTGATTTATTTTATTCATTTATTTTTTATATAGAGTGGGAGGGAGGAAGGGGAGAGAGAGAGAGAGAGTGAGTCATCGATGTGAGAGAGACACATCTATTGGCTGCCTCCTGCACGATCCTGATAGCGGCCGTGTGCCAGGAATCGAACCTGCAACCAAGGTATGTTTGTGGCCTTGACTGGGAATCAAACCTGAGACTCTTTGGTCCACAAGCTGATGCTCTAACCACTGAGCCAGGGCAATGTTTTTATTTTTTACATCAAACTTTTTTATCACTTTGGAGTTTATCCTGAAAAAAAAAAAAAAAAAGGTTTGTAGTATGGATCATATTTTTCCCCTAGCTTTTTACCCAATTGTCACAATACCATTATCAAGAAATTTGTATTTCCCCCCAATAATGAATTCATCTCTATTATTCTAAACTAAATTCCTGAATGTATTTTTGGCCTATTCATGTACCACTACTGCAATTTTTTAGTTATTAAAGCATTATGGTGTTTTTATATCTGATAAGTTTAGTCCTTCTATACTGCTATTTTTTAGACTTTCTATGGCCAATCTTGATTATTTACTTTCCATTTAAACTTTACAATAAGTTTGTTAAAATTGAAATTAGAGGCACTATTAGTAGAATCACATAAAATTCATAAAATAAGAGAAAATAGCTTTATTATGTTGAATCTTACTATTCAGAAAACAATCCCTTCTTGTTTAGGTTTTAATATGCGTTCTCAGATAATGCATTCAAGGTTTGCTCGTGTGCACGTTTCTTGTTTTGCTTGTTCCTAGGTGTTTGTGATGTTTGTTGCTATTCTCATTAGTCATTTATAACAGATTAGAAAACCTACTCAAAGTGGCCTAACCTTCCCATTTATATTTTTAATTTCAGCTAACAGCTATGAAATAAGGATGAGTAAAAGTCTACAGAATATTCGAGACGATTTTAACAATGCCATTTTAGTGAATACATCAAAGCTAAACCCTCAACAAGCCGGCACCAAGGAGATATTTACGTTTTCACCAAAGCTCTTCACAAATGAACCTGAACAGCAGCCTGATGGAGAGACCCAAGAAAGCCACAGAATCTATGTGGCAATACGAACCATAGATAAGAACTCCTTAAAGTCTGCAGTTTCTAACATTGCCCAGGCATCATTGTTTATTCCCCCAAATTCTGCTCCTGTAGTTGCCAAAGATTATCTTATATTGAACGGAGTTTTAACAGCAATGGGTTTGATAGGAATCATCTGCCTCACTATAGTTGTAACACATTATGTTTTAAACAAGAAAAAGAGAGCAGACAGCAAAGAGAATGGAACAAAATTACTATGAACAAAAGCTTCATTCTTAGATATAATACCCATTCCCTTTGCACTTTACAAAAACATACCAATAAAAACAAATTAACATCAAAATTGTTCAAAGTGCTTTGAATTTTTGCATACTATGGATCATATTTTTACATAATAAATAGCCAAAATTCTTTTATAACACTCATTTTGAGGGGAAATTAGAAAACCCGTAAGTTCAGGCTATGGATAAAATAATAAAAATTATTTTCTAAGATGTCTTTAAAGGCAAAAATGACAAGGCCAAAGTCAAATCAAAGAGACGGGAAAAGCTCCTCTTATTGAAGAGAAAAAATAGTCCCAAGTAGAGAAAGAGGAGGCTCAGTCTGATTGATATAACTGTCCATATGAAGCAATTGTTAGGTTACTTTGATTATTTTTTTCATTCTCCTTATCTGTTCAGAACAGATTGCTATTTTATGACTAAAGATCAATCTGTATCTTATATATGATGCCTCTATTGTAAAATTATTTACCTCTAGCCATTTGGTTAACTGTACTACAGATCAAATCCCACCGCAAATGCTCAAAGTGATCTTTGTTTACTGTAACAGTTAACCTTAAAATGTGGGTATTATCCTTTTCCCCTGACACCGGTTTTGTAACAGAGATCTATTGAATTTATTGTTTATAAGTTTCTACTTTCATCAAAGCAGCTTTCCAAGTTATTGTCTTGGGTGTTCTTCAAAGTAAATGGTTATAACTTTCATAAGGCTTCAAGTAAAAAATAAAAGACATAGTTCTAAACTCATTCCAATGCATACATAGGCTATATAGTTTCGTTCCATTTCAACCCAAGAAGAAGGCTCAGGGGAAAAAAAGACTGGCCTTTCTAAATGATTAACTGATTTTATTTTTTGTTTAACTAAGACTCCAGGAATCTTTTCTAGATTGAGGGTTATTTACCTTGATTAAGGGGGTGGAGAGCGAACTGAGAGAGGGAAGCATATGTCACAAGGAAGTAAAAATCATCTTTCATCTAATTTTACTTCTCTTATTTAAAAAAAAAGATTATTGAGCAATAGAATCATTTGCTTTGTGCATTAAAGAACTGAAAACTTAATTGGGTAAATACAAAGAGTAATGCACAATAGATAGATCTGTTTTACAATCAGGACCAAATAAAAGTGAAAATTAGATTAAGTTTTGGGGAGGGGGTAGGAAATTGTGGCGAGCTGGGAGAAGAAAAATCGACAGAGAGGGTAAGCGCCTCAGACAGCACAGGGCAGAACAACCGACAAATCTCTCTACCTAAGCTGCCTCCTTGCAGTTCACACTACATCCCGGTCTGGCCTGTCACATTTTAAGTCCCAAATTCTTGCAGCTAGGAGTTTCGAGTACCCACTTGGCAGTCAGTCTCCCCTCGCTCTAATGCCATGACACCTGCTACCCTGGGATTTTCTCCGCGGTTTCAGTAGACTGGTAAAATATGGAGATGGAGTGTGGTAGGTTCTAAATCCTCAAATGTTTTCCTCATTTCACAGACAGGTAAACGGAGGCTTCAGTGAGTAATCCAAAGCGCACGCTGCTTAGTGGCGGAGCTACACAGGAGGACAGCCAGGGTCTCAGACTGCTCCTTCACTCTATGTATTTAAGAAGGTGTAGGAAGAAGCTCGGGATTATGCCTAGAAATATTGAACTTTTTCAAGATCAAATAGCAGAGGAACAGGTCTGGCTTTAAGGAACTGAGTGGTTGTTGCTGTTGTTGTTGTTGTTGTTATTTCCATCTTGTAGGTACCGGAATGAAAACAAATGGACTGAAGTTACGAATTAGTGAATTGGAAGAGGCAAAACTAAGATAAAGGATACTAAGTGACAAACAGATATATGATAGCAGGGTAGAAAGGGTGACTTCCTCAAGTGCTTGGGGTAAACACTATTCAGTAGTTGTAAGGCATGAAGCATTAGAGAACAAAATGAATATGTGGTAAATGAGGAGAGATCTTGATTTAGAGAAAAAGGAAGTTAAGTTTCATTGGGGGGGGATAGAAGCAGAAGATAGGAGATTTTTAGGGGCTGAGTTAATATAGCCTATGCACTGAGCAGACTGCTGTTCGTGGCTGTACTCTGGACTGCTCTAAAGTACCTTCCTTTCAATCTGCATGTTAGTACAAGAAAGTCTACAAAAAATTTTTTTTATTTGGTTTTGGCTTTGCTTTCTGCTATCATATAATTATCCTTAGAAGAGTTGATCTCTAAATAACAGCATTCATTTAAAACTTAATGTGACATGCCCAGCCGGTGTGGTTCAGTGCGTTGAGTGCAGTCCCATGGACTGAGAGGTCCCAGTTCAGTTCCAGGTCAGGGCACACGCTGGGTTGTGGGCTCAGTACCCAGTAGGGGGCGTGCAGGAGGCAGCCAGTCAATGTTTCTCACATCAATGTTTCTCTGTCTCTACAAAAGTCAATAAAAACATATTTTTTAAAAACTTAGTGTGACAAATCCAATTGCACTAATGGCAGAGTTGCTCATATTAAACTAATCCTTTTTGTTGATAACAATTATAACTCTAGAAAAATATAAAACACACTCTTGGAAGGCACTAGACACCAACAAAAACAGGTAGAAACTGAAGGATATATGGTCCTTGAGAAAAGGCAAGCAATCTAAGTGAGATCCACATTTAATCAGTGTTTGCCCCTAAAGGCATTTCCAGTTTGCATAGAACATTTGGATAAGCTCAAACAGAGCACAGCAGTCTTACTGGGTTGACAAGGCAGAAGTAGGGGTTCTGGGGAACCAAAGCACTTGGAAATCCCACAAATGAAGCAAATGCCAAGGAGAAACTTCCCAAATCTGTATCCGCTCAATCTGTAGGTGAATCATACCTTGCAACGGAATCTAATATAAGACAAGCGATTGGAGGCTAAAATTACTGAACAGAGATTTCAGCAACTGTCTAGTTCTGGAGAGAAAAAGTTTAAGGTTTAATCTCACCGAAGTTAGAAAACTTGATAATCATCTTGTGTTTCCATTGAAACTCTAGAAGGGACACATTAGGGGTAAAAATCATGTCCCTATCTAACAATTATGCCCTAGAACCAAAGGCAAAACTGAAATAAATTTGCTCTGACAAATCTTAAAACCACATCTCCACAGAATCAATATGATTCACCAATAATTTAACTACTGCTATAACATAAGTCAGGAAAATTACATCATACAGTCTCGATAACACATCATCTAGTGTATAATAAAAATGTAATAGACATGCCAACAAGCAGGAAATAAATCCCATAATTTAAAATAATAAAAACATGTCAATAAAAGAGGGTTAAAAAATTACTTATATTTGGAATTTGCAGATGAGTTTTCAACAACTATTATATATATGATAAGGAAATTATAGAAAAAGATAAGTATAAGTGATGACTAGAAGAGGAAATTCAAGAAAGATGTGGAAACTTTAGAAACATGAACATTTTAAAATTGAACAATGAAATATACTTTAAAATTTGTAATAAATTAACAACAGACCAGTCCTACAGAAGAAAGTATTAGATGACTTGAAGACAGGAAAATAGAAAGCATCTAAAGTGAAACATTCATTTTATTGAAAATGAAAAAGGCAAAATGACCAGTAGGACATTATCAAGCAGTCAAGTGTACATGTAAATAAGTCCCAGAAGTAAAACAAGGGAAATTGGGCATAAAAATATCCAAAAATTATTGGATGAAAATTTTCAAAAGTGATTGAAATATTAACCTACAAGTCTAAAAGACTCAGTTAACCTAAAATATGATCTACAAAAGAAAATAAATAATACCTAGGTATAACCTAGGAATAATGACTCACTAATCAAAAGCAGTTGAGGTCAGAAAACAACAAAATGACATCTTAGAGGGTTAAAAAATATCTATCAACACAGAATTCTATATTGAGCAAAAATATCTTTAAAAACAAAGGCAGATGAATAAAAGCTGAAATAATTTTCACTAGCAAGAAATTCTTTAGGCTGAAGAAAAATGATGTCTGGTGGAAATATAGATCTATAGTATGGAAGGAAAATCACAGGAAATAGTAGGTAAATATAGTAAAATGTTGATTTTCTTTACTCAATTATTTTAAAAGATAATTAACTGTTTAAAGCAAAAATAAAACAATGTCTTATGGCATTAATACTATAAAGAAGATGGGCAGAAATGTAACAAACGGAATTATTCTGTTGAAAGGTACTTAAATTATACATAAAGTGGTATAATATTAATTCAATATTAAGATAAACTAAGGGTGTATATTTCAACCCCTATGGCACTCCTTAATAATAGGGAAGAGTATTTAAAAAGCTAATAAATGTAATAAAACGAAACACTACCCCAAAACTACCTAATTAACTCAAAGAAGACAAGTAAAAAGCAATATGGGGACAAAGAATAGAGGTGAATAACAGAAATCAAATAGCAAGATGGTAGACTAAAGCCAGCTGAATTAATGATTATGTTAAATATAAATGAACTAAACACTTCAACTAAAAAACAGAGATTTTCAGACTTGGTAAAAAAGCAAGACTGAACCATATGGAATTTACAACAGATGCACTTAAAATATAAAGACTTATGAGTTGAAAGTGAAAAAAAGGAAAATGGTATAACATGCAAACACTAAGAATAAGAAAGTGGGCGTTAGTATACAGCTATAAAACAAAATAGACCTTGAGAAAGGAGAGAGAGATAAAGAGGGTCATTTTATAATGATAAAAAAATTCATCAAAAAGATATAACAATCCTAAATGTGCATAAACCTATTAATAGAGTTTTAAAATACCAGAAACAAACAAAAATTCCAGAACTAGAAAGAGACAAATGAACAATTGAAGATGGAGATTTAACTGTCCCATTGTCAATAATTGTAGAATATCCAGACAGAAAAACTCAATATGAATGGAAAATGTAAGAATGGAAAATATTTTAACAATATTATCAACCAATTTGACCTTGACATTTATTTAAAAAATCCAATCACCTAGTGTAGAATACACACTCTTTTTAAGTATTCATGGAACATTTACCAAATTAGATCACATGCATAAAGAAACTCTCAGAATATGGAGTCCAGAAACAGACCTGCACACATATATATGGTCAATAGATTTTCTACAAAGGTCTTTGCAAATCAGTGGGGGAAGGCAACTTAATGGGTAAGAGAGTTCTATTCAATAAATAGTATTAGACAACTAGACATATATTTAGGAAA